GATCTCATCATCTATAAAGCCCACTCCATTCTGGGAAACCGGTGGACTGAGATTTCCAGGCTGCTCCCAGGAAGGTGGGCCAATTAGCTAGCAATGACTGAATTTTTAAAATATGGTTAGCAGTCAAAATGCAATTTATTTATTTATTTTTTTCTGGCAGGTCTGACAATTCTGTGAAGAATCATTGGAATTCGACCATCAAACGTAAAGCAGAGCTGGGCTTCTTTAGAGATGCTGCTCAAAGCATTTCCATTGATATTCAGCAATTTGTGGATGGAGAGGTACAGTGCTTATTGGATGTAGTTCATACTTTTTAAGGCTTCATTTTCAGTTGTAACTGATGAGATATGCCAGTATTGTTAGATAGATTTTATACTGGGACATAGCCAGCTCAAAAAATTCAAAGCTGCTTGTTTTTAATGTCACTAAACTACCATTTTTCCTGCAGTTTTAAGTTACAGTAAACTTTGATATTGTTAATTGTGAATTAATATTACATGATGTGTTACAGGTGGATTTCAAATGTGACGTTGTTTTAGATGCCGAACCAGTAACTCCTGAAGTGGTGAGCTTGCTATAGCTGTATTTCTGAAGAAAAGATTTAGGAATTCATAAATACCTAAATCTTTCAGGATTTCACACAAGCTGTTCTCATCCGACAAGTTTGGTTTACCTATTGTGCGTTTTGCTCTGCTGCAGCTCAGGCCTGAGAAGTCAATGCAGGACAAGGAGCACCATAAAGCCAAGCAGAAGACTGCTGCTCCACCTCCGCAGAGGTCTACATCAAAGAGAGAGTCTTCCTCCCTCAGTAATTCTTTTCTCCCCTGCTCAAAATCCAGTCCCAGCTCTGGCACCGCACCACCAGCCGTGCAGGTGGATCAGAAAAAGTTTGCTGATGCAGCACTAAGGATGATTGCTGAGGACATGTTGCCCCTCTGGTGAGTTCTTCTGCTGATAGTTGAGATAGTGTTGGTTTGTGATTCACTGAAGGAGGTTTGGTAATCCTTAAGTCAATGCAATTTTCTTGTCACTCTGTGGTTATGTTGAAAACTTTGTAAAGGCTTTTATATATTGAATTAATATTTACTGTATATCATTAAATGTATGATTCACTTTATTCCGCACAGCTTTGTTGAAGGGGCTGGCTTCAGGTCTTTCATGAGTACGATCAGCCCTGAGTACAACAAGCTATCCCAGCGCGCAATGGCCCTGCAGCTTTATGACGAGGTGGAACGAGCCATCAAGCCTCAGCTCATCCGTGATCTTAAATCCTGCCTTGCCACAATGAAAGATGGTGAAAGTGCCATTCATGTCACCGTTGATCTCTGGGCAGGGGCTCAAACCCTGCCAGTAGAGGATCCCATTGTTGTTGTCCAGCTTCACTTTATCAGTGATTCCTGGCAGCTCCGCCGTCCTATTGTGGCCTTCCGTCATGTCAGCCACAAAAACCTCAGCACTTGTGTGTCCAGGGAGCTCGAAGGTGTACTGCTCAGCTACGGGATCTTTCCTCGCAGCATCGGCTACGTCCTTGCCAACCAGGCCAAAGAAGCCCTAGCTACAAACAACTTGTTCTGCGACTACAAGATTATGTGCACGTCCAATAGAGGAGAACCGGATGGAGATGAAGTGCTGGCCTTTCTGTCAGACCAAATGTCTGAAGCAGAGTCCCCTTTTTCCGAGCTGCAGATGGGGACAAGGACTACATGTGCTGCCAGGACACTGCAGATAGTGATTAGGGATGCCTTAAGAAATTCAAGAGTAGTAGAGAACCTGCTCTCACAGGTCCACAATGTGGTGGCTTTCTTCAAGAGCAGCCCCTACTGGAGCGAGGTATGAGACTAAAGGATTTAAATGTTATTTCCAAGGTATTTAAAGCTGGGTTTCAATATATTCATTTTCATTGCGAGGGAGAAAAACAGAATTTAAGAGATGTTTCCTCTTGCTTACATTATTTAGTGTAATGTGGCAAATGTTTTACAGAAAAGATGCAGACCTGAGCTCTGTTAACAAGATTATTTTTGCCCTTTTTCTCTTTTTTCTTTTAAATTAGGTTTTGATGAAGGAGTACAATGTGTCTTTGTGCCCTTCCTCTAGCAACTGTCGTTGGAACTCCATGATGCTATCATTACGGCGAATGGTCCAGGAGTCTGTCTGGAGCTCCATCATGACTCTCCTGGCCCAGGCACGCATAGAGGCTAGTGACACAGCCAGCGCCCCACCACTGGTCATGGTTAAGAGGGAACAAGTGATTGACATTCTAGGTCTTCTTGAGCCCTTTGAGGAGGCTTTACAGGTAACAGAGCAAGTTTCTCTATAATGGAATTTCCAAATCTACATGTGTAGCCTTTTGTTCAGTAATCCCATAATCAGGCTAAGAAGAAATGTGAACGGGGTCTTTAATAGAAGACATGTTTGTGTCTTATCTATCGTAGGTCCTGCAGGGAAATGGTGTGACTATGTCTCTCATCATACTGTCCCTCATTGGACTTGATAAAACCTTGGAGAATTGTGTCACCAACTACACCCACTTCTGCAAGGCCCTGCGCACAGGCCTCTACACACACTTCCAGCCAGTGATTCACCAGAAGGACATGATACTAGCTGCTGTGCTGGATCCTAGGATCAAACTGCAGGTACCAAATGAGGCCAGAAGCATAGCGGACTTCTGTAGATTTATATTTAATTGAATATGCGTGTTGAGTAGATAAAGGAAAAAAATGTGTGTACATTTAAAACAACCATTTTTTTTGCAGCCGTTTTCTGATGACAACCAGGATGAACAGAATGATTTCCTAACACCTCCGTCAAAATCGGAGGCTCGCAGCATTGTTGAGTCCACATTAGAAAACATGGAAGCCTCAACTTTTCCTACTGTTGAGGCAGAGAAAGATCAGACAGGCAGTGGGCTGGAGCACGATGTGAAAGAAGAAAGCCAGACAGATGGCGTGATGGACACTTGTGCTGGCAGCTCAGACAACAACTGTCCTGAAATCAGTGAAAACGACCTCAAGAGGAAGTCCATCTTCAACTTCCTTCAGCCGCCTGCAAAGACTCTAAAGATGTCAGAGTTCGACGTGTACCTGTCTGAACCGCTGTGGGAAAGCAACTCTACTCTTCAGTACTGGAAATGTGCTTCTCGATTCCCGAAGCTCCAAGGCCTCGCCAAGAAGCTGCTGGCGGTGCCCGCCACATCTGGAGGTTTTGACCGTTTCAGTCCGATGGCTGCGTGCATTGTGAAAGCAAAAAGGAACCGCTTGCCACCTCACACCACAGAGAGACTGCTACTATACAAAAACTCTGTAAAAGTGAAGACTGTTAAAAAGCCCAGTCGGGCTGCTAAACACTGATGGATAACAGCTGAGTGTGGCAGAGCTTTCACAGCATTAAACAGAAACTCTGCCTCTACTTTTAAAAACTGTGCCATACGCTAAGAAGGAGGGTGAACTGCTAATACCTCTTATATTGTAGCAAATGAATCAGCTGACTCTTTCTTCCTAGAACGCATTTGCTGGTCTGCATTAAAAAAAACAACAAGTCCTGTGTTACAGCTGGTTTCATCAGTTTGTTAAAGGGACGCATTCTGGTCAATGATCCTCACAGCTTCATACCTGCAGCAGCGATAGAGATGCACACTGTCTCTGCGTGCTGTACGGTGCTGCTCAGAGTTGTACTTTGTCCCTTCCACACATGATTCAAGTCAGAGCTCTCTACTGGATTGGGAAATGGCAAATTAGAAATGGAGTCGGTGAATGAATGGCATCTGATTCACTTCAAACCAAAATGAGTTCAGCTTGTATCGTTCTTTTGCAGAAGTTCATGTTTTCTGACTGCAATTTTTGTTAAGACAGTAATAAAATGTCAAATCAGAGGTTGAATGCTTATTTATTTCCACTATGCACTGATAAATGAGATATTTGCTGCCAAACGTGATGGAACAGTAGATCTTTATATTGAATTTGGCTATTCAGTCCCTCCACCCCAAAAGTCATTTATATTTTATAGTCAAATGAGAAATCCACTGTACATTTCTTTCAGGCATTACAGTTTTGTTTCATTCATTCTAACGTGAAATACGTTACAAGTTTTTGCTTGCATTAAACATTGGAGTATGTATCAGCTGTGTTATCAAGAAACTGAGATATCTGCTAGAAACTGGAATATTGGAATATGTCTGATATTAAAGACAGTTTGCGACTGAAGAAAACTGTGAGAACATTTTTTTAATCCTCTCATTGATTCATCTTCAGTTGAAACTGCGTCAAATCAGCTGCCAATAAGTAATTTCAATGCATTCTATTTTATTTTAGTGTTATTATTCATTTACATTTTATTGCGTCATTGTAGTGCATTTTACTTGTTTTAGTTGCATTCTAGTTTGTAAAGCAAGTTGTGCAGCATGGGCTGTTGGAAATGTGCTCGATCAGTAAACCTGACCTTGACCATGTGTGGAGGGAGCCAGAAACATGCTGCTGTTTGCACATATTTAATAATGGGCTCTGCAGAGGAGCTAAAGAAGAGTCCAGCATGTTGCTCTGACTGTGTAACTCCTAAAGGTACAGTAACGGCAACATTGCCTAGTGACTGATCAGGCCAGTAACATTTCTGTTTCTCATATAAACCATCTCAGTGACTTCAGCAGAGATATTTTGTTAGTCAGGGTAAATACAAGGATTAGCTACCGAACATGTGCTTTTGCTCAATGTCTGACTGCGAGTGACTGAGAATGTGTTTACTTTAAAAAATGAAATATGTATTTGGCCACAGTAACTAAAGGTTCGCTAACTAAAAACTAACTAAAATGTAGCTTTAAAAATAGCTGAGAACAGCCTATTTTAATAACCTCACTCCACTTCCTGCCACTGTACAAAAATGAAGCCAAAATTCCCTTTTCATGGGGACTGCCATCACTTTGTATTTTTGAAGCCAGTGTGTGCGTAGTAGTGAATAAAAGCAGATCAAAAGTACTCAAATACAACCACTTGTACACATCAAAAGAAAAATTCAGTTCACATCAATTTTATTTGTGCCAATTTTAGAACTTTAGGGTAACATCCCTACAATAACGCAGAGATTGTAGGGATGTTAACTTGCAATATAATATTGCAAGGTAACATCCCTACAATAACGCAGAGAAAACCCAACAATCCGAAGATCCCCTATGAGCAAGCACTTGGCGACAGTGGGAAGGAAAAACTCCCTTTTAATAGGAAGAAACCTTCAGTAGAACCAGGCTCAGTGAGGGGCGGCCATCTACCTCGACCGGTTGGGGGTGATGAAGCGACATAGATGAAATGCATGTCACTTCCTCACACATGCAGAGATGTCCTTATTGTCTTACATTTATGATGTTATAGCAAATACAGCCTCTCCTGGGTTACGGATGTAATATACCCTCAGGATGGGCGGGTATTAAATTTTTTTTCTAATATTGTCTCTTTGTGATTTATTTTGACTTTGGAAACAAAGAAATAGATATTTTTTAACCAGCTTAAAAGCTGATTATTTCTTTGGGGTCAGTGTGAGAACTGGTAGGAGGATTTTTTAGATGTGTTTGGGTTTGGCTGAAGGCCGGCGCTTGAGTAGTTTTGCACCAGGATTGTATACTCTACGTAGAGTTGACTGGGAAGTAATTTCAGGTGAATGGGGATGAAACATTTCTTCTTCTGCCTTGGGAGTAACAGTGGACTTGAGGTTGAGTGAGCTCCTAGACTCAGACTGCTTCTTTGAGTTGTCTACAGTTTTAGACCGGGCCCTAGTGGAAATAGGAGGTAGCAGGCCATGCACTGCTTTTAGCTTACTGTCACATGTGGTAAGCTTGTTACCCATTTTACCCTTAAGGTCTCTAATTTCTTTCTGTTGTTCTTTCAGCTCATTGTCGCCTTTGGATGGAAAGTATTCCACATTACTCAGGTCAAATCTCACCTTTTTCCGGGCTATTTGTTCATCCCCATCCTTTCTTTGCTGCTCTGGGGAGGCTTTTTTCTCGACTTGCACAGTGCGGCCGAGCGTGTCATAAAGTCCCTTCAGCTGTTGCAGCAGATCGTCATTTTCTTTTTTCTGTACTGCATTCTTTTGTCGTTGAATGCCAATGTCAGTTTCCAGTTCTTCTATTACTTGCTCAAGCTTAAATACTGTGTGTTTGGACTTTGTCAGAGCTTTCTCAACCTCTTCTTTGTCCTCCACAGTTTGCGTCAACTTTGACTTCACTGTGAAGAGGTTGTCATTTGCAGAGCTAAGCTGTTTCTCCTGTTCTTTCTTTTGTTCTGCCTGCTGCAGTTTGATAATGTCCAGCTCAGTCTTTACAGCATTGTAGCTGGTCTTAGCATTGGCAAGGTCTACGTTTGTCTCTTGGAGTTCTTGAGCCTTTTCTTTGATTTTATTCTGAAGTGTCTCTATAGTGTCTCTAGCTGTATAGAGTTCGTTCTCAATGCAGAACTTTGTCTCAGAAAGGAGCACTTTATCAGACCTAAGATTTTCACTTCTCTTTATCTCCAGTTCCAGATCGTTTTCTGCTTTGCTAAGAGCAGTTTTCAGACGGGCTATGTTATTTTCTTGGGATGAAATTTTCTTCCCAGACTCCTGCGTCTCATTTTCAAATATAATTATTTGCTTAGTTTTAACCTCAAGGCAGTTTTCCAGCCGGTCGATAGTAAAACGTTGCCTTGCCAGCTCCTTTATCTGACTTTCAGATTCCAGGACTTTAGCTTTTAACTCTTTCCTCAACGTTATGTTGTTACATTCCTTCTCCCTAAGACGTACTTTCAGTTCATCATTTTTCTTTGTCAGTTGGTTTTTCTCGTCTATTGCCCAGCGCTTTCCCGCTTTATACTCCTCATTTTGTCTTTGACACTTTTTAAGTTCAGCCTGTAGTTTCTCTTTTTCTTCTTCCACACTTTTAACTTTCTGTTGACGGCAGTACACCTCCCCAGGTAGTGTAAGAAGCTCGTCTATCCTTCTTTCAAGGAAGTCATTACGATGAATGTACTTCTCATTGTTCTGAATCTCAGTCTGAAGCAGCTCATTTTGTTTCTGCAGTTCTTTAAGTGTTTCATTTTTTTCCTCAGTCGTCTTGCTTAGCTTCATCTTGAGTTCTTGTTTTTCCTGCTCATTTTTGATTTTAAGGACAACCAGAGATTCCACCTCCTTTTCTTTCTTGTCCCGCATCGTTTTTTCAGTGGCACACTTATTTTCAAGGTGTTTGATTGCCTTATGAAGAGCCCGAATTTTTGCCTCATATTTGTTTGTGAGATCTACATTCTGTGACTCTGCGGACCTTAGCTGGGATTTGGTTTCCAGCAAAACATTTTCCATTTTTTCCATCTTTTCATCTTTGGATTCCTCTGTCATCTTTGCAACCAGTTCCTGTTCTTCTTTCAAAGATGCCTCAAGACTTGAAATCTTACAATTCTTTTCATCGATTTCCTCCAACTGAAGCTTTTCAGCTTGTTTGTACTTTTCTATCTCATTTCTGAGCACCTGCATTTCTTTGGACTCCTCTTTCATCTTTGCAACCAGTCCCTGCTCTTCTTTCAAAGATGCCTCAAGACTTGAAATCCTACAATTCTTTTCTTGGATTTCCTCAAGCTGAAGTTTTTCAGCTTGTTTGTAATTTTCTATCTCATTTCTGAGCATCTGCATATCAAAGTAGCTTAGGGAGCTCATTTTGAAATGAATGTATTTAGTTTAGTTTATACGACGTGTTATTCTGTGTTTGAAAAATGATCTACTCAATGAGACAAAGTGTTCGCAAGTGGAAACTGTTAGTTCAGAACTATAGCGATCTATGGGTTCAAGGTATGTACTCGGGGGATATTTATAGGATCTGACTCCGCCCCCAGAACTGTCATCAAAGGAGTTCAAGTGACGTTACCGCCGAACGTTGTGACATTCAAAGGACAGTCTATTATGATGTCATTTTGTACCAGAATGGGTTCAATTTGATATTGTGTCTTTGCAAGTTTGTTCAACTTGCATTGCGATTTTTTTTTTAGCAGACTTTAGCGATCCTTCTACTTGGGCTGTCTTCAAGTTTAAGGTATCTGTCGTTTCCCACCGTATCCCGCCCCGATCGATCCATTTATGTACGAGCCCATCCGCCCCCGGATCCGTTCATCGGGGCTCATCGCTGCTGTTGTAGTCACTTGTCCGGAGCTAACAACAGCTGTTGAGCTGACTATTAAGCTAACATTATGCCCGCTAGTGTTACGTGTCCTACAAGTCACACTTTTTCTGTGATAAACAGTTGAATTAAATTCTTACAGCGTATGAGAGGTTAGCAGCGTCAAAACATTAGCAATAGGTGACAATAACGAGTGCTGGAGGATTTATTTAGTTATTTATTTAGATCCATTTCTTCAGTATAAGAAGCCATACTATCAGAACACCGCAATACAGATACAACTAATAGGCTACTTATTCTGCAGAAAAACTTTCACCATTTGTGCTTAAGAGTATATGAATTTATATGACTACTGCTTATGTTGAAGATTAAGCTCAGTTTTAATATTTCATGTCATTCTATAATGATCATAGCGTATGCAGAGATGACACATATTTGTCCATTTTAATATTCAGCTGAGCATGAATGGAATGTCAGAGTGGTGTCTGACAGTATATATGTATCTTATTATAATGAACATAGTGTATATATGTATGAATGTTTGATTCAAAGAGAAGATTAGACATTTAAAATAAATGAATAACAAACAAAAATCTAGCAGGTTGAGCACTGTGTGAAGCAGGAAACATTCAAGCAGATGAAAAATATATTAAATGAAAATACTGAGCTTATCGTTGATCAGCTTGGATTGTGTAGATCACAAATCTTTTGGTCTGAATCTTGTTTTATTTAATTCTTATAATATCCATCGTGACTCTCTTTTTCATCAGTGGAACTCTGTCCCAGTCTGCTCCACCACTGCTTTGATAAACCCAGATTGTCCTCCTCTCCTTTTTAGACTAGGTCTCACACCATCTGTGAGTTCAGGCTCAGGTAAGTTGGGACACTTTAGTTATCAATCTTGAGGAAAAGGCTGCATCACATTGATCTAAAGTTTTTAAAGTAAAGAACAAGTTATTAGCAGAAAGAGCAACATGCTCAGCATTTTTTTACAGTCTTTTAATCACATGGAGCCAGTTGACCCAATCATTGTCATTCAAAATGTGGTATTATTCAATAAAGATAGTGGAAAATCACACCTCCACTCCATACCCCCAGACAAAAAGCAAACTGGTTATTGTGCAGTTTACTGTGCAGACTCAGTACAGAGCATCATCATGTATCCCAAATCCAGAATAGATTTATAGTCTGTGGCATCATTGAAGTTGCAACTATCCTGTTTATTCCATGTTTAGAATGAAATGAATCCTGTCAATCGCTACTATTCATATCAATAAATATGTTCTTCAGACCATGCATTGATATTTGCTGTTGGAAAGCACACACAGCCTCCATAAAATCCATGTCAACTTATTTAGTAAAAATATAACTGCATTATCAAAATAGTTTCCACGTTTGCGATGTTTCAGTTCAAAAGTGTTTTAAATCTGCATCAGTGATTTATGTCATTAAATTACCTCGTGATCTTCTTTCTACCGCAGCAACTTAAGTCTTGCGATTCATGACAAGCCACGCTGTTAAAGCATCTCAAGGAGAGAAGAACATTTGAGGACAACTTGTTTGCATTGGAGCCAGGCACCAGAGGGCGATAGAGACGTTTTCTACTGTCTTTGATCCGGCACCAGTTACTACTACTACTTACGTCAAAAGAAAAACAGTGCGTCAACGAGTACTTCCGGTGTCGTGACCTCTCCTCTCACGTGTGCACGGAGGAAAAGTATAGAAGAAGCTGCTTTTACAGAGCTCAAATAAACTCGCTCGTTGTTTCCTGCTCAGAACTAAAGAAAGAAAAGGAGTGTTTGAGCGCAGTAGGGAAAAAACCCCTCTTTCGCCATGGCTCTGTACCTGAAAGCAGCAGAGATCATGGAGAAGGTCGAGGGTAAACAGGGGGCTTTGAAAACTCTGGTTTACGACAGTCAATTCAAGAACATCAAACAGCTGTTCGCTCTGGTTTGTGAGACCCAGAAGTTTTCCTCCGTCCTGCAGGAGATCATCGAGTCCACCAAGCTACTCAGGCATACCAAGCTAAAGATGCCCCTGGCTAAGGTGCTCGTGTACGACCTGTTGATAGGCCAGGGGCTGAAGTGTGGCGGATCCTGGAAGGCCATGATGATGAAGCATCGCTCCAGACTGCAGGCGGAGTTGGCTCGCATGAAGGTGAAGCAGAAGGTAAGCAGGAATGAAGACCTGCTTCCTTGCAGTGTCAAGCACCCCGCTGGAGACCAGTTGCCCAGATATGTACGTGTGAACACTCTGAAGACCACTGTGGAGGATGTTGTGGACTACCTGAAGAGGGATGGCTTCTCCTACCTGGGGAAGGCTTCCAGGCTGGAAGACTTATCCCTGAAAGACAGATACTTTTTGAGTGACCTGCACCTGCCAGAGCTGCTGGTCTTCTCTCCTAAAACTGACTTCCATGACCACTTCCTGTACAAAGCAGGCCACATAGTTCTGCAGGACAAAGCCAGCTGCCTCCCCGCTCATCTCCTTAGTCCTCCACCTGGTAGCCACATCATTGATGCCTGTGCCGCACCCGGCAACAAAACCAGCCAGCTGGCAGCCATCATGAAGAACAAGGGTAGGCTGTTTGCTTTTGATTTGGATGGAAAGCGCTTGGCCACCATGTCAACGCTCCTGCTCCGTGCAGGGGTCACCTGTCAGCAGCTGGCCAACCAGGACTTCCTGAAGGTGGACCCCGATAACCCGCAGTATAAGGATGTTGAGTACATCCTGCTCGATCCCTCCTGCAGTGGTTCAGGTAGAGTGACCAGTTATCCCTGTGTTTGTATGACTGCAGTAGCGTTCTTTATAACATCTGTGCATATGTATCTTCAATTTATCACACTTTAGTTTACTTTGAATGCAAAATGTATCATATTTATTTCATTTTTAAACATTGAATTTGTTGTTTATGTAACAAACGTTAGTCACAGATGTGGGTGTCCAGAGTAGAAACTGGAATAGAAACCCGTTTAGGCATCACAGATCCATCCTTCCTCTCTCAAGTTCAAGCAAATACTGCAAAACTTTGCTGCGTTTCACAAGTATAAGCAAGAATCACAGTCCCAGTGTGGAATTAAAGAAACAAACAGCTTAATTATAGTAAAAAAAACAACAACAACCAAAAAAGCATTGTAATCTGTGTGTGATGGGGTTCAGGTATGGTGTGCCTCCAGGACAACACCTCTGCTGACCAGGAGAAGGAGCAGGCTCGTCTGGCCTCTTTGGCCTCCTTCCAGCTGCGCTGCCTTAACCACGCTCTCAGGTTTCCCAGCCTGAAGCGCCTGGTCTACTCCACCTGCTCCATCCACAAACAGGAGAATGAGGAAGTGGTAGCTGCCTGTCTGCAGCAGAACCCTGGCTTCAGGTAGCAACAGCCTGAAGACATTCAGACTGTTTATTTATCATTTTAAAGCATTCTATTCTTATTTAGCTGTCTAGACGATGAAACCTGGAGATTTTTTTTAATTTTTCTGTGATCTCTCCACCTTGACACACATGCATGTTATAGTAGCAGTACTGCATTGTAGTGTTGTCAATAAAATTAGACATTACAGGTGTGTGAGACCATTTTCAGGACTATGCAATGACACTGACGGCACAAGATTTAAGATTTTCATTAAATGAGGACTGTGACAAAGTGCAGTTAGCGACAGTGAAATAATTTCAATTATCCATAATACATATGTAATGGGGGGTGTTACAGTTTTGTTTGTAAGTGTAGAGATGCAGGCTGAGGTAGCTTTTACAAACTCAAAACATGTTAAAAAAATGCAACAAAAGTTCAGGTGTTCAGTGTTGGGGTTTTGCTCCCTGAGGTATGTTATTTATGCCAAACTGGTTGTTAGAAGTGTTATTCAAATCCTTTCGTGTCTCCCCGTCCAGACTGGTTCCTCTGTTGGCTGAGTGGCCTGAGCGAGGCCTGGAGCCCCTCCCACAGTGTCTGCGTGCCAGCACTGCCAAGACCCTCACGCACGGTTTCTTCGTGGCCCTGCTGGAGAAACACAGCGAGCCTGGAAATACAAACCAGGAACTGGCTGTTCAGATAAGGTGAATACTTGAGTGTCATGTAAACTTACAAAAATAACCTTAACACCAGCTGTTACATTGAGTTATGGCCATGCAGGTGTGCGCACACATCTGTATGGTTAGCTAACAGTGTGTTTAGCTAAATAGTTTTTAGTTGTGTCTATTATATTTGACTTTCTGTATTTGTTCCCTGTCTGCTCATAAAAACATTGAATTTGTCAGTAATTTTTTCTTTTAGTTTAATTCTACTGTAACACTGTCTAGATCTGTTCAAATCTTTGTTTTGGGATAAAACATGATTACCTGATCAAAGTGGCTATGCAACTTATTATTTTAATGTTTCTCTCAACAGTAGTACTGCGGAAGTTTCCTGTAGTGTTTTTAGATGAGTAGGTTGACTCTTGCTCTTTACTCCGTCACAGCGGCCCAGAGGTGAAGCCACGCAATCTGCCTTCCTCTGAGAAGAGACCTGCAGCTTCAGAAGAAGACTGTGAAGCTTCAGAGACAGAGGACAGACCAACACCTGTAGGAGGACAGACTGGCAGCAAACCCAACAATAAGAAGAGGAGGAAGAGGAAGAAAAAAAAGAAGGGGGCAGAAACTGCAGAGTGAAATTTAAAATTGGACTGCTGCACAGTTCGTCTGGATGAACAGTGCTGTTGATTTCTAACTGAGATGTAACTGAAAAGTAAAGATACTTTTTATTTTTACTGCGTCTCATCTGTGTGTTATTGGTGTTGCTTGTTTTCGAGAGATGTTTTCAGGTATTTTAGTCCCCTCCTGAATTATCCAGCAGGGGGCAGCAATCAGCAGCCAGCCTGTCTGTAGAGTGATTTTTATTTCCGGTAAAACAGCGTCAGCTATTGGTGGAAACAGTGGTGTGTTTTGTAACTGTTACCAAACTCTTTTGTAACTGATAAATGTTTCAATTTGACGGCGATAAGCGGTGACCTGCAGTGCTGCGTGCCGGCTTTGAGTCCAGCAGGTCTTTTGGCGTACACGGAGTAAGTCACTTGAACACGAATGTATTAGTACCGGTTAATGCACGACACCGCTCCCAGCAAGGACACTTATTAAAGTTTTCCTCTTTCTTTTATTTACAACTGGGGAAAAAGTAAGACAGCAGGCCGCCTCCAGCAGCTTCTCCCTCGGCCCTGACAGCAGAATGTCCTCGTTACCCAAAGTGACACTGTCCGGAGGTTTGGAGATCTGCCGGGTCCTGAACGGGATGTGGCAGGTGTCCGGGGCGCACGGAGCGGTGGATAAAGTCAGGGCAGGTGAACAGTAAACCCCGGGTAGCTATAACTTAAAAAAATAGCTAGGTGTCTTGATTTTTATTTTATTTTCGTATGCTTCATTCATTCAGTGAATTTATTAGGTACAGTTACAGTGCAGTTTAATACAATAATCCTACAATAAATGAAGCCCTCATGTGGAGTTGTACTGTTGGTCTATTTTAATTGTTCTGGGATAAATAAACAATAATAGCTAAAAACGTATCTGGGCAAACTAAGGATGATAATTAAAGCTGGACTGATACACTAGAAATGATTCACACTACTCTAAGCTCCACCACGCGTCGCCTTATCTGTGCTACTTTCCTCCTTTTCTCTGCTTTCCTCTTTCCTTTCATGTCTAGTTGAGGCCATGCAGGAGTATGTAGATGCTGGTTTAACCACATTCGACATGGCAGACATTTACGGGCCTGCAGAGGAAATCTTTGGACAGTTTAACAGCCAGGTAAGTGTGTATATACTGAATTCAGTATTACTTACACATCGCCAAATCACCACAGCAGTTACTTCAAACCACTTTATATTGTAAGGTAAAGGCTCTAAAATATTAGAAAGAAACCCCAAGAATAAAATGACCCTGTATGACCACTTGGTGAGAGTGTGAAGGAAATCTCCCTTTGAACTGGAAGAAACTGCAGACAGAACCAGACTTTTTTGGGGTGAGGGGAAGACCATACAGTATAATAAACACCCTACAATATCAGAAAGAAACCCCAGCAATTACACAATCCCTTATGAGCAACCGCTTGACAACAATGGGAAGAAAAAAGCCATTAAATTTGAAGAAACCTCAGTTTTGCCAACCATTTGCCAGCTTTATTCAGTGTGCTGGAAGATATCAATACAGGTAAATTAAACTTGATTGAGGAGGGATGGGGGACTCTTACTACTGTGATGTTTAAAATCTGATGTCTACACGGTTGCAGTTGGAGTGATGTACCGCAGCGTGTTTGTATGTGTGAAATTAACAAGGAAAAGATGAACTACAGAGAGCAGAAAGGGTAGAGCAGGGTTCCTGATTTCGAGACAGAAACCTGTGTAATTTTCTGTCATATGCTGAGAATGACTTATTTGACAGTAAATAACGACCTTGCCTTGGGAGATCTTGACAGGACCTTGCCAAGTATTTTGTAGGAAAACACAATTACATCAGAATTTAAAGATAAGAGATTAAATAAACCAGTATTAGTCCCGCACATGGGAAAAGTTTTGTGTCACAGCAGAAAGTGGTGATATTTTTTTAGCATTGGTTATTCACAGAGGTGCAGATACTTGGTGTGCACTTTAAGACACTCCTACACTCACCAGTGCCAGTGTGTGCACTTAGGTCAGTTGATGCAATATCCGCTGATGTGTTGTGGCAGTCTGATGGTATCAGCCTTTGTCAGCCGTTCACCTGGAATAATGTGCAGATGATCGGAAACCCCATATAAAGAAAACCCATCCACATATACTATTTAACTCTTCCACCCTTAATTCAGAATTAGTGTGTTCAGTCTAGCTGTAAAATGTAACCCCGCTCAGTCACTGGTGTTTTTTCAACTTTTATCTTTGTTTGATCTTTAGCTGAAGTCCAAATCCTCTGGGAGTCTCAGCCCAGCTCTGCAGGGTTTGACTAAATATGTACCAAGACCTGGACTGATGGAGCGCAAGGTGAGCCACTCAGCAATGCTCAGTCTGCTGTGCTTTTAACAGTGAGACCGGTTTTATCCACTAGAGAGCAGTGCATGTCTTTATTAAGAATCAAATCATAACCTCGCCAGTATTTCTTTTCTGTCTTTATCTCTACGAATGGCTTGAAATAGATACAGTTAGGTTTGATTCTAGTATCAGTCCATAAAATCCAGCACTCAGCTTTGACATTTTTTGATGTTTCTGGGAGAAGAAATCAGCTGAACTCTCTCTGTTCTTGCAGGTGGTGGAGAAGGCGTTGCAGCGGTCCATGACTCGAATGCAGGTGGACACCCTGGACTGTGTTCAGTTTCACTGGTGGGACTATGGGGACAAGAGATATCTGGAGGCACTGGGTCACCTCTCTGACCTGCAGCAGGAAGGAGTCATACGTATGTGCGCTGTACTACTAAATGCACAATTTATAAATGAACGGACAACATATGATTATAATATAAACTCATAAGATTTTATGAGTGACAAAAATGAATGACAAAAAATTGCTTTGCACTCTGGGAGAAACTGAGGAGAACAACATAAATGTATATAAACACAAGAATTAGACTCTTTTGGTGGCTAATCATGGTTTAATATCAGCGTGCACTTTGATATAGATAGAAAAACACATACACACAGATTTGGTTTTGACTCTTAACAACAAATCTTGACTAATGTGTGTTGTTATTGCATTGCATTAAATCTTGACTACAGTACCAGAGGTGTGCTGGTTCCCAGACACACAAGTTAAGAATCTGACTATTTTTTCCTCAGGTGAGCTCGCCCTCACTAACTTTGACACACAGAGGTTGGAAGAGATCACCAGCAAAGGCATCCGCATTTCCAGCAACCAGGTAACACATCCCTCTATGTGTGAGAACACTGCTCCATCACATTTAGGATAGTCTTCCTCTTCTCTTTGTGTTTAATGTGGCCGTCTGTGCAGGTTCAGTACTCGGTGATTGACCAGCGACCTGCAGCCAGGATGGAGCAGTTCTGTGTCGCCAACAACATTAAGCTCCTCACTTACGGCACGCTCGGTGAGATATAACTCCTTTATTTGCATGCAGTCATCTTACATTAGCAATATTCGACTTCAGTCTCTCTTCAGTAGACGTTACTTCATCTTTAGTCGTGCGAGTTGTGCATTAATATTGTTGTGTGGGACTGTAAAATGGTGGGTTTCTGAGATGGAGTCAGATGACATGACGACACATCCTCTTTCTCTCTCCCTTGCTTTCATTTTTTCCCCTCCCACCTTCTATTTTCTGCTAACTTTCCCCCCCTCTGCATCCCATCCTCCTCCTAACCACTATGGTCTCCATGTACGCCTCTTTTCCTCCATCACTTCTCCCCTCCCTTCATGTTTTCCCTACTGTTTCTTACTTATCTCCATCCTTCCGCCCCATCTGTCCTCCCTCTTCTCCCCTCTCTCCACCCTGACACTTTTAACTCCTTCATCCGCCCCCCCCCCCTACATTTCACTTGCATCCATTCTTTCTTGGTGCAGCTGGCGGTCTGCTCTCTGAACGCTATCTCAGAAAGGTGGAGCCTATATCTAGGGTGGAGCTCTACACCGCCTCCCTTTCCAAGTACAAGAACATGATCAACACTTGGGGTGGCTGGAGTCTTTTCCAAGATCTCCTCGACACCTTGGAGACGGTAGCTAAGAGACGTAACTCCTCAATAGCCAGCGTGGCGATGCGTTACGTGCTGGACCGGCCTGCAGTGGGTGGAGTCATTGTGGGTTGCCGGCTAGGCGTCGCAGGGGCGGGGCAGCACATCAGTGACAGCCTGCGAAGCTGCAGCTCTGACCTGCAGCTGACGGCTGAAGATCTCTCCGCCATCGAAGCAGTGACACAACGCTCCAGGGACCTCATGGCGATCATCGGGGACTGTGGGGACGAGTACAGGAACTAAAGAGGGCGGGGGGGACTGACTAACTGGATGTGACAGATCGCTGCAGAGGAGGAGGAAATACGAGGGAATAGAAAGGTCTCCCACAGCACATGGAAAAGAGAAAAAAAAGCAATTTATTTTGGTGTTTTTAATGAATTTTTTCTTTGACTTTTAAAAACCTCCACCCCCCAAAAAGCAACCTAAGAACCCCTTTATTTGGAATAATGTGTTTTAAGAAGCTTCTCTTTGAATGCAGTCGCACTGAGATACTCAGTTATACATTCAAGTGTCAAGTGTGTCCTTAAGCCTTAAACATTCAGAGAAATTTCTCTTTTTGTATCTCCTTAAAATAAATGTATTTTTCCATTAGCTTTAGTAAATTAAAATAAAGCTAAAGTTGCATCTTGCAATGAACATAGGACCAAAATATATGAATGTATGTAACATATTCTATTTACTCACAGGGTGTGGTGTTCAGTGATGTGTAAGGATGTAGGGTAACCTGGAGCACTGTTGTACTAAATGAATTTAAGACAAAAGCATGTTATTAATCAACGAGCTCTATCATTTGGACTTTATAATAAAAGATAAATACTTATTGCAAATTTAGCAGTGGAAGAAGTAACCAGGTGATGGATAACTCTGTTATTTCTTGTCAACAAAATTCATACAAATCCCGATTTTCATCAGAAATGTATGGGGAATTATGCTTACGTGTATGCACATTTTCTTTTTTCAAAATATTTTGAACGATGTTTTTGTCATGTACCTGGAAAGACTAATGACAGGGAAGACGAATACGGGAGTGCGATAATGTTATTTTATGTTTTCATCTTTTCGGTTG